CACTGCCGTAGGGCAGTACCCACCCCCACAGCCCCACCCGACAACCCAAACACCCACCCCCACAGCCCTTGCACACCACTTTGACCCCCTATCCCTCCGTGAACCCTCTTGGTATATGGACACCGGTGCATCCCATCATATTGCCTCTGACCCAGGTATTATTTCTCATGTTAATTCTCAATCTTTACATTCACCATTATATATCACTATTGGTAATGGATCTAAAGTTAGCACTACGGCTGTTGGTAGCCATACCCTCCCCACCATCCCTTCCCTATCCCTGAAAAATATTCTTATTTCTCCTCACATCACCCACAACCTCATCTCTGTTCGTTAACTCACTCGCGATAATGACTGTTCTGTAGAATCTGACGCTAATGGTTTTTCTGTGAAGGATCGTCAAACGGGCACCGTGATACATCGCTCCAATGATCTAGGACCCCTCTACCCCCTAGGACGTCTAGTTGCCTCACAAGCCAATGTCGCCGCTGTCGATCTTCAGACTTGGCACCGGCGCCTAGGCCATCCCAATCAAACTGTCCTCAATAATATTTCATCTCTTCCTTTTTTAAAAAGTTATCAACATTCCTTATGTCATGCATGTCAATTGGGAAAGCATGTGCGCCTCCCATTTTTTTTCTTCTAGTCGTGTCTCAATGTTTCCGTTTCAATTATTACATACAGATTTGTGGCAGTCCCCTGTTCCAAGTATTACTGGTTTTAAATTTTATATGTTACTGTTGGATGATTTCTCTCATTACCTTTGGGTTTTTCCTTTAAAACATAAAAGTGATGCTTTTAATCATTTAACTTCATTTGTCGAATATGTCAAAAATCAATTTAACACAACAATAAAAGCAGTTCAATGTGACAATGGAACAGAATACCGTAACTCCCCACTCAAAAATACTTTTGACTCTTTAGGAATCCTCTTTCGTTTCTCGTGTCCTCACACCAGTCAACAGAACGGCCGAGCAGAGCGCACCATTCGTACCATAAACAACTCGGTTCGTTCCCTACTCTTTCAAGCCCAGCTCCCCCCCACCTTCTGGGTCGAGGCCCTCCACATGACAACCCATATTTTTAACATTCTTCCCACCACCACCTTACAGAACAAAACCCCCCACGCCACCCTCTTCAACTCCCCACCGTCCTACGACCACCTTCGCGTCTTCGGTTGCCTATGTTACCCCAATATTTCTGCCACCTCTCCACACAAACTAGCTCCACGCTCCGCCTGCTGCATCTTTCTCGGCTATCCCTCTAACCAACGCGGGTTCCGTTTCCTTGACCTTGACACTCACAAAATCATTACATCACGTCACGTGGTGTTCGATGAATCTTGCTTCCCATACGGTCAACCTGTTTCCCCGCAAGATCTCAATTTTCTCGACATCCCATATGATGACCCACCCCCACCCTACACCCATTCCCCTCCCTACCAGCCCCACACCCACCCGCCTGCCCCCA